CAAGATCCTGAGAGAATGGAGAAGGAGCCTCGGCCTTACCAGCCACCCTGGGGGGTGATTTCTCGCTTTCTATCTCTATGTCTCTCTCTGTCTGTCTGGCGAGCGCACGCGCCCTACAGTGAAAATCTCTCAAAACAAAAAAAAAAAAACAGTGAAATCAAAACCTTATCATTTGAGGGACCAGCAGATAGCATAATGGTTACATCACTGGACTGCCACATAGTCAACTGTGGTTCGAGTCCCGGACCTGGCAACTTAAAACTCACACCAGGCATGTGTACATATGTGCCCAAAATCCCAAGAGGGGAATGGAAGATAAGGGATTGTAGTGTGACCGTCCCCCTCAGGGTTGATTTCTCACTTTCTATCTCTCTGTCTCTCTCTGGTGAGCACACACACTCTACAGCAAAAATCTCTTGCAAAAAAAAAAAAAGCTTATCATTTGAGATTAAAAGCATAAAACTCTGGGCTGATGCAATGGCAATATGCAATGCTCTGCAAAGCAGTACTATACGAGAAGATTTCTCATTCAAGTCTGGAACCTCTTTCAGTACGCTCAACATGGTTCCAGATCCAGGTCTGGTTAAAGGCTGGGGGGTTGGATCATGGCTTCAGGGCTCTGTTTGGGAAGTTGTCTCTCTCTCTTTTGTCTGTCATGTGCAATCATGGGAAAAATAAATAAACTTAAAATATTGGGTCATTGGGAAAGTCATGATGCATTTCTGCATATAAAAACACAGAAAAATATGTCATGACCTTGCCGACGACCTAATAAATAAATAAATAAAATGAAGTTGTAAACTTCTAGCCAAAATGATCAGGAAAATAGATAGATACAATATACTAATGTGGATTAAGGGTGGTGACACTAAGGTTTCTCCAGAAATTAAAGTAATTATAAGGAAGCATTATCAACAACTTTAAAGATAATTAAATGGCACCACTGCTATCAAAGTTGTTTCATTTATAGTTTTTAAGATCTTACCCAAAAGAAACCCCCTGAGCCACATAACTGAAGGGTGGGGTTGTGAATACCAAGAGGCTGTGATAATTAGGGACTGTCTAGAAGTCTGACATTCTAACCCCATTTTAATAAAAATTTTTATCTACACATCTATTAGTCACTTGAACTGTTTATCCATCTATCTGTAATGTAGAGAATGCTCATTTAATAATGGAGGCTATATCATTGTGTTTTTGTTTTTGTTTTTCAAGAGTGATTTTTGCTATAGGGCACATGTGCTCCCCAGAGACACAGAAAGCAAGAAATCACCCACTGGGGAGATGACCACACTGCAATCCCTTCCCCTCCAATCTCCTCTAGGGAACCTGAGCACTCAGGCAAAGCACCTGGCATGAATTTTAAACTGCTGGGTCCGGGGCTCATCCAGGACTCCAACTGGGGTTGACTATGTAGGAGTCCAGTAATGTAACCATTATACAATCTGCTGGTCCCAATGAAGGCTACTTCTGAGTAGAGCTATGAAACAATGTTTAGCTTTACCCTTATAACTGTATATGAAATTGATATGTACCATTTTTACAAAACATTTTATTAGAATAATGAAATCATTCATTATTTCAGTAAAATATAATAATAAAGTTAGCATAAATCATAAAAGACAACAAATAAGAATATTTCAAGAAAGAATATGTCATTCACAGTGATAAATTCAGCAGAAAGGTTGATAACCAAAGATCTGAGAAAATGACATTTGGTTTCATAATTGGGAGGTCAGAGTGGAGATGGAGAAAGCAAACTGTGTTAAGCAGAGAGTCAAGAGGTAGTGAAGAACATGGCTTACAACACTTATTTGTGAAACTGAGCTCCAAAAGCATGGTATCTCTACTCCAAAATAGCTAGGGGAGGAATAGGAAAATTATTACAAAATCAAAAATAACTTTACTTCCAAACTAAAATAATGGAGATACCTAAGGAAAACCATCTAACCAATTTGTGTAATTGTTAAGAGAATTTGGGGCTGCCTGAAAAGTCATGATGCATTTTTGCATAGAAACAGAAAAATATGTCATGACTTCTCTGACAATGTAATATCAAGGGAGAGAATAACATGAAGCCAACACTCAGAAAAGGAAAGAAAGGGTTTCAGTCTTTATGTAGAGGACTGAAGACGACATAAGAGACAATGCTAACTTCAAAAGTAAAAGAAAGTGATACTACATTTGTCCTGAAAGTGTGTTTAGTGTTTTTTCCTACAAAATAAAATTGCTGGGGACCAGCAGATGGCATAATGGTTACGTCGCTGAACTCCCATTCCCACATGGTCGACCTTGGTTCAAGTCGCGGACCAGAGGCTTCACTCTCACATTGGGTACATGCGCATGCCCAAAATCCTGAGAAGAGACTGGAAGAGAGGGGATTGTGGTGTGGCCATCCCCTGGGGGGGAGGGGGGAGGGTGATTTCTCACTTTCTTTCCCTCTGGCAAGTGCATGTACCTATAGCAAAAATCTTTCTAAAGAAATAAATAAAATTGCTTCAGAGGACAAGAAAAAAGACATCTTAAAAGCAGTCAATTAAATGTAGAGAACAATGAGATCCAATTAGCCTTACTGTATCATTAAGATTATATAGTCTTCACAACAGTACTTTGCATACATTACCCAGATAACTTAAATCTGCTTTGCAAAATCTATCTATAGAATTTCAAATTGTTCTTTAAATATATCACCGTAGATGCGATGGAAATCATATTCCTCACCACATACTTAAGAATGATTATCCTCTGGCTTCACTTTTTTTTTTTTTTTTTTTTGAGAGGTTTCTTTTTTCACTATAGGTAGCGCATGCGCTCGCCAGACTGACAGAGAGAGACAGAGAGACAGAAAGCGAGAAACCACCCCCCAGGGGGGATGGTCACGCCACAATCCCTTCTCCTCCATTCTCCTCTCGGGATCTTCAGCACGCACACACGCACACGCACCTGGTATGAGTTTTAAGCCACCGGGTCGGGACGCAAACCGCGGTCGACTACGTGGGAGTCCAGCGACATAGCCATTACGCTAACTGCTGGTCCCTGGCTTCACTTTCTTAACAAGTAAAGTTAAAGAAATCAGTAAGCTAATTTATATATGTGTGCATATATATATATATGTATGTATGTGTGTGTATATACAGATATTTTTAATATCTCTTAATTGCCAAGCTATATTTAGACTTTTTTTTTTTTTTTTGGAGAGGTTTTTTTTTCCGCTATAGGGCGCGTGTGCTCGCCCGACAGACAGAAAGTGAGAAATCACCCCCCCAGGGGGGATGGTCACGCCGCAATCCCTTCTCCTCCATTCTCCTCTCGGGATCTTGGGCACGCACGCACACGCACCCGGCGTGAGTTTTAAGCCACCGGGTCCGGGACACGAACCGCGATCGACTACGTGGGAGTCCAGCGACATAGTCATTACTCTAACTGCTGATTCCCACTGCTGGTTCCCTCTTTAGACTTATTTTTTAAAGTCCACTAAACGACCAGTAAATGTATGTTACCCAATGAAAATGTCCACTGGCGTAGTATCATTTACCTATTTGAATAAATCCAAATATATCAATTACACTTTCCTGAAGAAATCTCTCAATGTTGTTATACATTACAGCTAATTAGAAAAGAAGCGGATGATTTGAATGGCTCCATATTTTTTTTATACTTAGGTTTTCTGCTGGAAACAAATGAGAGCCAAATGAATCCTTTGGGTCTTCTCTTTATACTCCAAATTGTTCACAAACGTACTCTACAATCCCTGGACTCCTATCAGCTCCAGCTGGTACGTACCCTCAGTATAGTCAAGTGGGTTCATGTACTTAGTACAATTAATTTTAATACTGAAATAAGGCATTGTGTCAGTATTTTTTTCTTCATTAAAGAGCTGGCTATGGTGATCAGCATCTTTGTCACGATAAATGGCTTTTGGATAAGTGACACTTCACAGGCAAATGTCTGCTCAAATAATTTATAAATAATGTACCCCAGTGAAAGGCAAAAATTCAGATCAAGGGATATGTATCTTAACTACAAATGAATGTTGGAGAGCGCTTTTTTTCTAAAAAAAAAAATTTTAAAAAGTACTACTGTAAAAAAAGAACAATTAATTTTTTTAAAATCAAATATGGCTTATTATTCCAAAAATTCTTTTTTTTTTAAGTTAATGGTCTTTTTATTGGGGGGGAAAAAAAGACTAGCATTTACAACTTGGAATGGACATAAATTGTAATTTCTTGAACAGCAATGTTGATGGTTGTGCTGAAGTCCACAGCCACAGCCTACTCTGCTGGCTCCAAGTCATGGTTCAGAAGGTTTTAAAAACAGAGAGTCCAAAGATGCTCCCTTAATATAGGTTTCTTATTAAAAATTGGTGTGAGCAGTGACAGCCTGACACATTTTACTCTGGTACAACGCAGACAACGCCAAATCAACGTACATGGGGCATGCCACCAGTGTGTCATTGTCACCATGGGTTGGAGCACACGATAGTACAAGGGGACCATCCTGCTAGCAGTGGGGCTAGGTCTTGCCCACTGTTCTGCACATCATCCTGAGGTACACCAATTGTCAAGAGTGTCTGTTTTCAGTAAACCAGCTATAGCAATTGAAACTAACAAATTGAACTAGAACCCACTAGAACAGGTTTTGAATTTGTTTTTTCATTTTTTGTTTTTAATACAAATGCCTGACTGTGCTCAATCAAGCTGCATGCATGAAAAACTGGCCAGCCCAAACAGTGTATTAATCATTAGCAAATGGAACTTTAAGGAGTCTACTAAGTGCTTCCTTATCATTAAGGTAGTACAAGTATTTATATTGTAAAACTGATGTGTAGCTTGATCTTTAGGGGACAGGACCACCAACTGAAACATGCAGATTTTGTGTGTGTGTGGACAGAAGGTACTTCTGACATTCAGTTTTGCTATATAGAAACAGAATGAACAAATGAACTTTTTTCTTTTTTTTTTTTTTCTTTTCTTTTTTTTTTTTTTTTGCAAGAGGTAAGTAAAAGATTCCATTTGATTCTTCTAGAGGGGGGAAAAAGGAAGTTGAAAGTAGGCCTTCATTTTGCAGTCATCATCATCTGTACGAATTCTTCATAGTTGACTTGTCCGTCTGCGTCGATATCTGCTTCTCTGATCATTTCATCTACTTCTTCGTCTGTTAGTTTTTCTCCTAAGTTTGTCATGACGTGACGTAGTTTTGCCGCGCTGATGAAACCGTTGCCGTCCTTGTCAAAGACTCGGAATGCCTCACGGATTTCTTCTTCGCTAACTGTATCTTTCATTTTTCTAGCCATCAAAGTCAAAAATTCTGGGAAGTCAATGGTGCCATTACCGTCTGCATCCACTTCGTTGATCATATCCTGCAATTCGGCTTCTGTGGGGTTCTGACCCAGAGATCTCATGACGGTTCCAAGTTCCTTTGTTGTGATGGTGCCATCGCCATCTTTATCGAATAGGGAGAAAGCTTCCTTGAATTCAACAATCTGTTCCTCGGTCAGCTGATCAGCCATGGTGCCAGCGAAGGGAGGAAAAGCAGAGGAAGCAAGGGAGGCTGCACCAGCGCAGGGGCTGTGACGGCAGGGGTGCCTCCGCGAAGGCGGTTGCTGCTGCTGCTGCTGCTGCTGGCTGCTGCTAAGGCGCGGTGTGCAGTTGTGCCTGTTCCAAAAATACTTAAATCACTTTTACTTTAGAACAACTGTATCTATAAAGTGTCATTTTAATCATTCAGAATAGTTTATCATTAGATGACATTTAATTATTTCATCTTCTTATTGTTTATTATTCACCACTTACTCATTTTGTATCCCTTGGCTTCCACAAACCAGGAAACCTGTACTGAGTTCTATTTCTATCACAAATATCAGAGAAAAAAGTAAAACTTAAGTTGAAAAAATGGGGAATGAATACGCTCATGCAATTAAAAAGTCCAAAGTAAAATTACTTCAGGCATGTATAGATCTAAGGGCCTAATGAGTTCATCGGGACTCATTTTCTCTCTCTTTCTATTCCTCAGTCCTTAACTTCTTTGTTTTGATGCCATTCCTAGCAATATCTCTATACCTGAAGAAATTGTGGCTTCTAATAGTTATAGGTTGCATTGTGAGAACTCAATATACTCTAACAGTCTTAATTTTTTTAACATGTAAAAATGTATACTTTAATAAGTATAAAGTGTATAAATAGTTAGGTAAACTTGGAGCTGACCAAGATACATAAATTAGGAGATACAAGTGTCTATCTAAATTTTCTATATTTTTTACAGAATATTTAGTAAAGTAAATTGTTTAATATACAACTTCTCATTTGTCATTTTAAAAGTCCTTTATTTAAAGTAAAGACAGTTCTTTCTGATGAAAACAGCAGCCACAGTGATTACTCGGGACTACCACATTGGATAAATTCCTTTTTTTTTTTGAGACACCAGTTTCCTTCTGTATTTCTGAGGTAAAGTTTTTATTATTTTGCTGTCTGGTAGACCCTGATACATCAGCAAATCTGGTGATTTACTTCCCTTAGAATGCTGTGATATTGCAGAAGAATGGGATAGCAGACCTGCTAACCTCAAAGCTTCTGATACACTGGGTTTAGGATTGTCTCTTCTGTCAGGAAGCCTTATTAATGGTGCATGTGGCTTCACTACCTGCATGACCCTACTGGCAGACACCATCTTGCTGCCCATCATGACCCCAGAGAAGGGTAACAGTCTGAATTTTAAGAAAGACCCATGGATTCATAATCACTGGCTCTGAGGGCCTCAGCATATCAATCCGTAAACCAATCACTTTGTTTAAAGTGTTGTAACATTCCACTCACTCAAACCTGGATTATACCCACCCCTGGTGAAACATTCAAACTCTAAGGACTGAAAACTGGGTGGCAGACATGAGAATGCAATTATCTGATGGAAAAGATATATATGGTAATATCCTTGATTTTATGGTAACATATGTTTTTGAAAAAATAAATAAATAAAACAAAAATGGCTAGTAATAGATTTCTAAGTACATAATATATGTTTTTGAAAAAATAAATAAATAAACAAAACAAAAATGGCTAGTAATAGATTTCTAAGAAATGTCAGAAAATAATTTTACAAAAAAAAAAAAAAAAAGAAAGAGAAATACAGGCAAATCAGGCAAAACCAACGAATAACCATTACAATGATGATAAAAGCCCACTGTCAGTAGGACATGAGTTTGGGATTTCTCTTCCTGAAACATTATTTTAAAATATCTATCGAGCCAAGTCTTTTTTATGACCAAAGGTGCAGCACATTTTTATAAAGTTAGGTTGTATATTGGAAAGATCTATTATTCTGCAGAATTCGAGTTCAAATTCCTAGTAATTTTTTCATGGCTATGAGATTCTTAGCTGCCTGAACTTTATTTTCCACAACTATCAGATGTGAATAATACAACCTACTTTACATGGATAAATAAGTGAGATAATAGAAAAATACTTTGTAAACTATGAAACATTCAACAAACATTAATGTTAAATGCAAAATGATTCACTGGGCAGAGATAATATTTAATTACAAAAGCTTAGATTTTTATTATCTAAGGCTAATAGTCATTCTCGCCTGCAGATCAAACTGCCACCTTTACAATACCACTGGGATACTAATATCCTTTCATTTGGACTGTAAAAATCTTATGTGCTAAATACACAAATAGTCTCCATCAAAAAAATCCCATGTGTTCCTCTGACAAAATGTATCAGAAGGTAAAGACCAGGTTCCTAACTAAAATATTCTATTACACAATATTAACTGGAAGAGATGAAAATAAGAAGTAGAAAAATTTCTGGCCAGCCCATGGCATGGTGTCTGAGGCAACTGGATCCCATATGGCCTATTATATCGTTCAAGCTCCGCCTTCAAACCCTCACAGAACATGGCCTGGCATCATTAATCCATGGAGTACTCTAATAGAACAAAAAGGAGGAGGGAATAAAATTCACTTTATTTGACTTTTTAAATTAAATTTAATTTAATTTTATCTTTTTTTTTTTTTTTTATTAAACCAGAGGGCATGTGCACTAGCCAGAGGGAGAGAGAGAGAGAATGCACCCCCCCAATAGGGCATGGTCACACAACAATCCTTTTTCCTCCATATCTCCCACCAGAATTTGGGACATACAGGCATATGCTCCCAGCATGATTTTCAAGCTTCCAACCTAGGATTTCAACTGTGATGGCCACATGAGATCAGGCACTCTAACCACTATGCCACAACCATCTTTTCCTGCTCTCTGATAGGAGCTCCAGCTTTCAGGCCTTTAGACTCCTGAACTTACATCAGCAGGTCCCTCTTCCCTCCACCTCCACAATGCTCAGGCTTGTGGCCAAGGACTGAAAGTCACACCATCAGCTCCCTTGGTTCTCAGGCCTTCAGACTCAAATTGAAAGACATCACTGACTTTCTTGGGTTTCTAACTTACAGATGATATATAGTGGGACTTCTTAACCTCTCTAATCACATGACCTAGTTCCTATAATAAATATCTTCTTTTATGTATATCTATATGTATACTAATAGTCCTGTTTTTCTGGAGATTCCTGACTAATATGAAAGCTAAATGTTTTGAACTTATTCAGAGTCCTATCAATAGAATCACTTAAGTATGACTTCTACTATGAACTCAGAACCTATAAAAGGATCAACCCAAAATGTGTTCTCTGATTCAAGAAACTCTAAAGTGTTAGTGAGATTGAATAACTCCTATGAGATAATGCTAAAGTAACAATTAGATAATGATCGTCTGGTCTCTAAGGGATAAACTCAAGAGTAAGGCAAGGGTCCTTACATAATTGAGGATGAAATTCTCCCTACAACATAAACTGAAAACTTAACATAAACTCAAAGGTGAGAGTAAAATAGCACAGTTAGTAATTATAAGTTCCTATCTGAGATAACCCAAGGGGAAGCTATATACCAAGGAAAACATACACTCATGTACATACCCAGTTTCCTGTCATATAAATTTAGAAGACACCTCACCTATCTCTTATTTGTGGAAATACAGTCTAATGACTAGAAGTAAGTAACTTGGTCATTCAATTTTAATGGTCTTTATTTTTAAATCTATCATCTCAATATGAACATAAAGGTAAATATTATGAATTTACATATCTTAATGCTCTCTTCTATACTAGATTTTTTACCACATTCTATAAATGGCAACGGTTATTTCAGATGGTCAAATCCTTAGTAATTAAAATGCAAAGCAATATAGAGTACAAATAATTTTACTCAGGTACCAAAAATTCCAATAAAATAATTAATAATGACATTAATATTTCACATTTCATTACACATAAATCAGCTTTGTACAAACACTTTATTGGATTGATTTTATTACTGTCTTTTGGAACTTTTCCCCATCATTCTTTCATTGATTCTAATCATCCTCTTTTATAACCTAGGTATTTTCTTAGTGTGCATTCTACAGCTGTGCTATTGAATGAGAATACTTAAAGGTTCATTGCACATCAGAAACATACTCAGACTTCATATCACACCCTTATTTTATACCACAGGGATGTTTAGATGAAGTGCCTATAATAGAATAAGCAGCAAAGCTCCAGAATCTCATACGAACACTTGGAAACAGTCATTATTGCAAACAGTACACATTTAACTAACACACTGGAGTCCTAAATCTTAAACTTAACACAGAGATTAAATACCAGTAGAAAAATAAATATGGATTGAGAACTAAAATTGTTTTTTCTTCAACACGTGATGAGAATGTATATATAAAACTGACATCAAGAACAGGCCAACCAGAGATTAAATGATGCAAACAGGATGCCAAGAAAAACTCGGTTTTCTGCCAAAGGTTTTCCCCAAGAGGTGAATAACATTTTCCATAAGTCTATGGAAATTGCAGAATTAGTTTGGTAATGAAATACTCTTACTCACTTTTTTATGTATGATTTACCATTTCTGTTCTCTGCTGAATAGTATAGGTTACATTAATTACATCAGAGGGGAGACTATATTTATAGTCAATGAACAGATTAACAGTCTTTTCATACATATGAGAAAATTTTACCATATGTAAAAATGAAATATGAATTTTTTAAAATCTACTTTTGATACTGCAAGACTATTTATACAATTATAGTGTAATTCTGTAAGATTAAACGTAAATGTAAAAATTTCAGGCAGGAGACCTTTGTATGAGGTGATGCTAACTGCACATTATTATCATTAAAAGAGTCATGCTGTAGTTTCCATAAAGTTACATGTTTAGGCCAATTCATCACAAGAATGTTAGGTAGCCATGAGAAAAAAATTTTTTTTAAAAAACATTTTACAGTATCTTCAATTGTTCTGAATATGTGTCTACAGAAAACTTGAACATGTAAGTAATCTCTACTTTTGTCTTTGGTCTTCTTCAGTTGGCCTTCTTCAGTTAACACCGTTGGTACTTGATGTGCTTATAAACAGAAGCCATAACTGGCTGATGTGCTTACTGCTTTCATTTTACTACATCGTTTTCAGAGATTAGAAAAACAAAATATAATAAAATCAAGTTATGAAAAGCACAGCAATGCTGCAAAATTACAGAGTCAGCTAGTAAGGAACCTGTCTCTGAAGTGTTCCAGAGAATAAAGGTTTTTAGAAGTTTTCAATCATGAAGCAACA